CGGGGCGATGTGGTCGGTAGATCTATCTAAGTGACCTCACTGAGGGTGCTGGTCGGTCAAGCACCCCGCGTCCCGTCACGCCTGGAAGCAATGAGACTTATGGGAACAGGAACCGGTGATTCTGTTTGTGTCTTCCAAGTGTGTAATTATTTATATATATGTATCTATCTCGTACTATCGTCTGCATCTATCTGCTATATATAATTAAACACAGTGAGTACAGCTGAAACTTCATCAACACTGACTTCTGGAACAAGCTTACTTCATCGACACTGAGCGGTTTACTTGTTGACGCTTTCACTCTTTTCTAATTTCTACACCCTAAATTCAATTAAATTCAGTGGGGTTCCGGTCGAAGCAAAAGCAGTCGCCCCACACCACCACACCAGGAGCCCTCTTCCTCCGTCCCCATCCCGCTGACCGCGCGGGGGGGGAAGGCTCTCCCAGACTCTCCCTCTGACTCCCTTGGCGGTCTCCGAGCCGCCCCACGAGCTTCTCCAGCGAGGTCCAGGGATCTTCCAACGAACGCAGGGGCATCTTCGGTGCCAACGGTGCGTCCTCGCGACGGGGCGCGACGGGGCCAACGGGCGTGACCAGCTTCCTTTGTGTGGGTCGGTCTGCGAGTAGATGTGCAGTGTATAGTAGACGCATCGTGACATGTTGACCCACGAAGTCCTAAAGACATCTAAAGACTATTTAAGGGCATCACCCAGAATTAAGAAAGTTCCTGCTCGGGGCCGGTGTCACCTGTAGACCATTTGAAATTAGTCTTGAACTTCCAGGGTTTAAGTCATCTTAACATGCTGGGCAGGGCGGGTGTTACTAAATCTGTTTGGATGATGTCGGGTGTTCCTGGACTGATGGGGTCTAAAAATGGTAACTCAACTTGGAGACATTTCAAGCCGTCCAAACCAATGTTGATGCTGTCCGAAGCTTATTCTTCGTGTCCCATTATATCTATTGATGCATGTTGATGCTGTTTGGACTCAACTTCGTGGTGGATGATGGGCATAGGCAGGCATAATCTCAAAAGCCACCCTGAAGAAACCTACCCCATCACAAACCAACAGAAGCATTCATGGATACCAAAGAGATTATTCTGCACCTTGACCAAAGGGTGCCTTGGTCCCTGCCGCACTGCTGCTTCACCCGGTTCCACTGTGCCTTTGACGCGCGGTTGGAAGCCGGTCTCCGCCCATCACCTGGGTGTCTGAGAAGCCCTTTCGGTTTGACGAAGATCGAAAAACGGGTGGCACGGTGGCGCCTCACTGGTGAGTGTTGCTGATACGTGGCATCCGCTTCTTAGCTCCGAGCTATTCCTAGCTCATGCTGCTCTCACTTTGCCTACTTGAGCTGAGAGGTCTTGGTCTTCAGGACCCCCAGGACCCCATGGGCGATAGGCTGCCGACACTCCGGAGAACCCCAGGCATGGCAAAATACAGTATGTACAGTATGTTCCCTTCTTTCCGTCCCATGCACTTGCCTTGGGGCTCTCGGTCTCCAACCCTTTTTCATCCTTTTTCCGAAATCCCTTTGTCACCCAGTCGGTTAGCTGAGCGCATCGGCTTTGTGGAAAGGCATCAGAGTCCTGCAGCTGCTCAGCCACTGATAGGATGAACCTGGGAACGTACGGTGTCGAGTACGGTGTACTTAACCCTGCGAACGGTCACACCCTCCGCCGATGGCGTTGTGGGTGTTGGAGCGATGGCATTCTCAATGAGAATCTGCGAACATCGCACTTTCGGCGACAAAACCAGCATCATCTTCGACCGACAATGATCGATCGAAGCCAGCTCGAGCTCCCCCAAATAGGGAACTGTTTTGTGTGTGTGCTTTTCTTGTTTTAATTGCGCCAGCGGCCAACGGCCGGCCGCCCTGGAAGATGGCAACAAGATGGGGCAAAACCAAGTAAAGATAGGCAAAACCAAGTCGCTCAGGAAGTGCCTCACCTCTGGTAGACTCCTCTGGTGCCTCACCTTCCTCACCTTCCTCACCTTCTGTGCGAACATCGCACGATTCGAGGGAATGGGGGCGAGTGGTCGCAGAAAGAAGTCCACCCGGTGTCCCTGGCAGATGCCACTCCTCATCCCGGCCAAGTGAAACCCACTTTTTTTGCGCCAACAAGCAAACGCGAAGTGACCAAAGTAAGCATGAAACGATGGCGGGCAAAGGCTTTTCTGTATACTGTATAGTATATACTAGCAAAGGCTTTTTAGCATGTGACAATATACTATATACTGTATCATTTGCTTATCGCCATTGCTGAACTGCAAAAGCTTTTTGAGGGGCTTTGCATACTATGCAAGCATTCCCAACTATGTACAGTATGCCCTTTTCCGGGTGTATACACTCTGTGGGGTTCTGACCTCCCTGTACCGACGCGCAGAGCAATCTATCGAAGCTCAGCCCCATGCGAGGTGCAGTACGTGGGGTTCTCCCACGTGGAGATCTTGGCGGAGAAGGTTGGAACATCCACGAGCAGCGAATGAACCCGGTGAAACATGAGAGCTGGGGCGAAGGACGAATGAAGCACCTGACAATGGTGTAGTTCTCCTTTAAAAGGGAAGATGTCCAACATCTCCGACCAGCAAGCAAACGTGACTTGAAGTTGGATAAGTTCGTTTAGGGTAAACAAGGGGTTCCCTTCTTTCTCGCCCATGCTGAACCCCGGCTGAGCAAGAAATTGAAAGCTTGACAAATGACAAATACCAGCGGGTCAGGTGGGTCGATGGCCTTTTCACTTTCAGACCACCCAAAGGTCATGGCCACATGGCTGAAGACCCTCCCAAGGCCGAAGTATGACCGGATGTGGCCTGCGAATGATGTGGAGGCTGTGGTGGAGGAGTCTTTTTTTCCCCTTCACCACGGTGCACCAAGCCGACGCAAATGACCTTGATATACTATTCATGTGTGGCTACACGAAGGCCCACATCACCTACGCCTCGAACCATCGCGTCGAACCGCGATCCATCGCCGGGCTCCCCGGGCGCCAGTGTGCGGGTTGTGATAGTAGTGCCCTGTGCTTCATCCGAATCCCCGACGATCGAACCGTGGGTCGAGACCGCGCGGTCGCTTCGCGTCCCCAATGTCGGTCCGGCAGGTGTTGACCATCAAATGACATCAAAAAGGTGAAACGGCATGTGCCCCCAAAACAAACGTTAAAGCATATTTATGATGTTGTGTCGGTACGGTTGATCCAGCACAAATCGTAAGAACGTATGTCGTATGTAATGTACAATTTCACACGCTTCAACAGGATTCAGCCTTTCTACATCTGTTGGGGACTGCGAGCAGGAATGTGAGCGGGGCACTGCAAGAGGCGCGTTTAGTTCCCAGCGGTGCTCTTGCCCTTGCATTATGAGCGATTGCCAGTCTATCCTTCAGGATAGAAGATCAGGACCAAAACAGTGACGACCGAGGCCCCGCGGAGAGGCAGCCGCAGCGCTCTTTTTGGCGTTTGCCGAGATTTCTTCCCTTTGTCAGAGTGCTTCTCAAGCCTGGGGCTGCCTTGCCAAGTACGAGTGCCGACATTCAATGACATGGCTTTGGGGGAAGCCAACGCAATTCCACGGTGTAGAAGATGTCTAGAACGGAAGAGGAGAAAAAAAAAAAAAGGAAAACATCTTCAATTGATCTAAAACCCTTGAGGGTCTGCCATGGTCTACCCCACATCACCTCAGGACAGGGAACTCCTGGTCCCAGTGCTGAGAAACGCCCCGAAGGGTCAGGTTCGTGTGGCCGAGGGTCGGGCACCACCGCCGGAAGTTTGCCGGCATCTTTCAGGTGCCGTCGCTTCTGCCCCACGCGAAAGAAGAAAAGCGGAGACGCTCCAACTGCGAGCCGTGCTCGACGTGCGGTGGACGTGCCCCAACAAAACACGCACAAAAGACTCGACCAAAATGCATGGAACACTCTTGCTTCACCAGCTGCTTTGAGGTCTCGCTCAGCTGGGTCGGATGGGACCCCACCCCAACCCCAACTGCAACTACGATGGTGAGATTCACCATGAACATCCTAAAACCCATTGAACCTGCTCCTCATTTCAACAAGTCAACCAACACGCTCAATAAGTTGTTTCAAGTTGCTGGACAGACATCCAGTGGCACATGTTTCGAAAACAAGAAGCAAACATGGGCGATCGGTGAAAGCTGTATTTTCCTCAGGCTTGGTGAAGGCTGGGCATCACCCAGAAGGGCTCGTTCTCCGTTTGAGGCCTCGAACGTCCGGTCAAAGAGCAGGTTCATGTCACCCTCAACGGCTAGTCATTGGCTAGTCGAAAGCAGTGGAAAATTGGCGAATAGGCAGGTTTTAGAGCTCACGTCCACGTCCAGATGCTCACATCAACTCTGGAGCTCAGGATGTTGGGGGGCCGATGCCCAAATCCTTCAAACTCCACACAAACCGGCCATCTCAGGTTCTTCCATGGGCGGCAGTTGTTCACAGCACACAGCTCCCACCCTTCCCCTGTTTTCTGCAGCCGGACCTGGGGTCCGGATGACGAGGCAGTCACGAAGGTAGTTGAAGGATGTTAAAGGACAGTCGTCTTCCTTCAAGGGGCAGCTGGTGTCCACTTCCACATCCCCATACCTGACCCATGGTGCTTCGGACGTGCCCAAGTGACTTGAAGATGCTGCTGAAGAACGCCTGGGCAAAAACAACGACGCAGCCAGGGAGTGGGATATGAGGCAGGTTGCTTGGGCTTTAGGCACAGGTCACAAATCTGCATCCCACAATAAGCAGGGCGCGTCAAGCACAAGAATGATCTGATCCGCTGTGTGGAACCTTCTTCCAGCACTGAGGTGTGGACGCAAAGGAAACCTCGCGTCCGCGAGCTAAGGCACGCGGGCCATCAGAGAGGTCTCGAGCGACCGGTGATCGGAGACTCTGAGAATGCATGTTGCTTCCTTGTGTATTTTCCGTTCTGGTTCGTGAAGCCAATCCTCACTGACGATCACTCACGCCTACTGACTCTCCACGCGTCGGCGTCTACTGGGCCATGTTCAGCACAAGAAGCTGAAGTGCGTTGTCAGTGGATGCCGCATCTCCCTCGACACGTAGCCACCGTCCTCGTTCTGGACACAATGGGTCCAGTAGTACCTGGCTGAACCACTTCAGAGCTAAGAGAGGAAAACAGGGTCATATAATATCCGGTTATCGAATAAATATAGAGGTTCGGCTGCCCCAACTCAGCGGATCAAGCATGGTCAAACTAAATATGATTGGCATATTGGCTTGCAGTCCGGACACACCTGTTCGAACATCGAACATAGAAGGTTAAGCGTTCAAACGTCCGAACCCCTGAACGGTTTGCCAAGCTTGTATGATCTTATGTATGGCCGCGTTCTCTGTGACTGTGAGGATGGCACAGAGCATTGCCTCATCAACAATCGCAACCAGTTTTTCACCAACGGACCCTCTGACCCAGAAAGAGCAGCATGCAAAGAGTGGCAAAACACGAGCAGAAACTCTTTAAGTGGACCCTCCTCTCCTTATTATTTCATCTGATTTTCTCCCATGGTCGATCACGAGTCCTGCACCCCGTCTATCTCCGAACGTCAATTCCCCGCCCTCTGGGTTCCCGGCAGTCTCACGAAGAGCATGGTGAACCTCAGCGGAGCGAGCCCATCGGGTCTTCGCGAGCGCAGCAGCTTGGGCGATCGGGAGCCAAGGGGTTCGATCAAGTTTGGGTGTGAAATTTCAGACATTCCATGGCACTGCACTCCGTGGCACAGCATAATCTTTGTAATATGCTAATGACTCTTGATGTTAATATACATTGAAATTTGGAGTCCCGATCCGGAGAACGTCCCGGAGAATGTGCGCTCTTCCGAATCACGAATCCCGAATCCCGAATCACGTTTTTGCCATTTTCGCCCAAAAAA